CAGCTGACCTGGCTTGTACTAGGAGAGAGAACACAGCCCAAGGAAATGTGTGGAGTTTGTTCCTCCCTTAGAACTGCTGGTTAAAGTTAGCGAATCACTGGAAGTTCCTTGGGAGCAGAAGAATTAATTATAAGTTCTAAAGATTTGGGTAGGCCCAGCGCGGTGGCTCATGCCTATAATCCTAGCACTCTGGGAGGCCGAGGCGGGCGGATCGTTTGAGCTCAGGAGTTCGAGACCAGCCTGAGCAAGGGTGAGACCCGTCTCTACTAAAAATAGAAAAAATTAGCAAGTCAACTAAAAATAGAGATAAAAAATTAGCCGGGCGTGGTGGCTTGCGCCTGTAGTCCCAGCTACTCGGGAGGCTGAGGCAGAAGGATCGCTTGAGCCCAGGAGTTTGAGATTGCTGTGAGCTAGGCTGACGCCATGGCACTCTAGCCCGGGCAACAAAAGCGAGACTCTGTCTCAAAAAAAAAAAAAAAAAAAAAAGATTTGGGTAACCACATAAATGTTACAAGATTATACTCTCTAGTGTCTAGAACCAGGTATGATTTTCATCACCTTTTTGCTGTATCTTCCTAGAAAATAATCCTTAGTTATAGCAGAGCCACATAGGATTTTAAAATTATGGTTTCTACATCCCTATGAGGTCTGAGAGAAAGGAAAAAATAAATGATAAAAAAATAAAATTGTAGTTTCATTTTTTTCCTGAAGAAATGATTTTTCAAATATGTTTCAAGAGATGACAAAAGCACAAAGAAGCACCAGATTTGTAGCTCGTGTCTTTACCTTCTCTCCACAGTACCCAGAAAAGTATGAAAAACTCAGTTGTCATAATTTTATTTGCACCAAGTAACTATTGAAAGGTCTGACTCCTCTGTGTAGTGATAGCACATTACCCGTCGTGGAACCCATGTAAGCCTGAGATCCAGATCCTTCTTCCCAAAGCAGCAAGTGTCAGTAATTGTTCAAATTATGTAAATGTAGCTGTTGGCTGACTACACTCCTTGCGGCAGGTTCTCTACCCCTCCTTTCCTTCCTCTCTTAGCCCATGACTGCTACCATCTGTTTATCGTCTGACTCTCCTACTAGCTTGTAAATTCCGTGAAGTCAAGGATTTGGTCTGTCTTGTATCTTCACGTATCTTTGTTGACTAGAATATTGCAATATAATAGGTGCTGAATAAATAGATAATGGTTTAGTCCATTTGGGCTGCTATAACAAAATACGGTAGATTAGGTAGTTTATAAACAACAGAAATTTATTTCTCACAGTTCTGAAGGCTGGGAAGTCCAAGATCAAGGTGCCAGCAGATTAGGTGTCTGGTGAGGGTTGCTTTCTCGTTCATAGATGGCACCTTCTCACTGTGTCCTCACATGGTGGGAGGGACAGCGCAGCTCTCTGTGGTCTCTTGTACAAGGGCACTAATCCCATTCATGAGGGCTCCACATTCATGAACTAATCACCTCCCAAAGGTCCCACCTCCTAATACCATCAACGGGGGTTAGGATTTTTCAATATATGAATTTTGAGGGGACACAAACATTCAGACTATAGCAATGAAGAATAAGTTTGTGACAAAGTCTTACCAAACAACAGAAGGCTGTTATTGCTGTTAATGAATACAAGGGAGAAATTATGTTGAAGAAACTATATTTGAGTTTTATTCTCAAAAATGAAGGATAAGGAAACAAAAAATCAAATATAAGACAGAGTGAACAGTTTATTCTTGTTCACTAGAGGACAAGGGAGGATCCTCAGACCCTTACATCCAGTTGCCTACTTGACATCTCTGCTTGAGTATCCCCAAAGCATCTCAAATTCATAATTTTCAAGACTGAATTCATGATTTTCCCCAATCAAACCTGTTCCAGTTTTCCCTGTCTTAATGCACCACTCCTAACCCCATTCCAAACTATTTGCCTTACTGTAGCCAGAGCAACCATTTCAAAATGCGAATCAGATGTTATTACATCCTCCCCATTCCTGGATTTATTCCTTCATCTCCTCAAGCTACACTTACCTTCCTCCAATTTCTTCTTGCCACAGGGCCTTTGCACATGCTATATTTAGGTCTGGAATGTTGTGTCCCTTGTGCTGCTTTACCTGTCTCCTGTTCCCAGTTTAACTCTGGATTTCATCTCAAACATCACTTATTTGGGGAAGGTTTTCCTATCCTCACTGACTAGGTCAGATGCCCTTATGGTATATAGCATAGTTAGTCCTTTAGTCTTCTTTGTAACATTTATCAATGTAGTATTTGTTGTACATTTATTTTATATGAGCAAAATATACACAGTTCCCACCCTTATGAAGCTTACAGTATATCTGGGGGGGTAGGGAGACATTAATAGTATATGCAGAAGCTCCCTTATCTGATTCTATTAGACAAATAGTGGATGAATTGAAAGTCAGATAAATCAGGGAATCATTTATTTTAATTTAAGACATATAAATATAGATTAATTTGCCAATCTTGTGGTAAGGTTTTCCTTTGTGTATGGATTGTTGACTGGTGTTCCCTGAGGTCTTTTCTTGCATAAACATAAGCATATACTCTGTGATTTTCAGTTGAAGTAGATTCTTAGAAGTAGAACGAGAACTTTGACACTTTGAAACAATATGCAGCAGAGTCCTTGGTTTTTAATTTTCTTTTTCTATTTTGCCCTATCCATTTGCACTTGCCTTGCCCACACTTGTTTTGGCAGCAATTTTTCCAGACTCTCATTTATTCTTCTTAACAGCAGCTATAGTTTTATGTTGGTGTGTGGTGGAGGAAAGCAGCTGTCTCACTGACGAGTGCTCAGGAGGGCCAAGAAAGGGCTTCGCAACCAGCCACTTCTGCCAGCCTCTAAAGTTCCACCATTAGAGCATGTCACTTTGGCTGCGCTGGCCCTGAGCAAGATGACTTTGGAAAACAGAAGCACCAGGGTCCCATGCCTGGGTCACAGGCCCATCTTTGGAGCCAGATACTTATTCAGCTATCCTGTAGCATTTTCCAGAAGTCTGTTTGGTCCAGCTAACCCTGTGTATGTTTTTTTCTAGTTATTTCTTTGTATTTTGGGGTAGGAGGGTTAAAATACAACATGTTCCCTAGGCATGTTTTCTTTTCCTCACTTCCATGACCACTGAGATACTCTGATGTCTCTTGGCATATATAACTCGGCAGTTTTCTTTGTTTGAAGAGGGAATGGAGTACAAATGTCTGGGACCTCACTGACCTTGCATTCCAGAGTCCTGGGCCTGCCGCCGTGAGGCCAGCTGCCGTTCCACCCAGTGCACCTCTTCCTTCCTCCTCAGTGCTGTGCCTGCAGTATATGCTCTGGGCTTCCTTCTGCTGCACAACAGGCCATGGGCTTGGATCCTGTCCCTCTTGATCCGTGGGAGCTTCGTGTCAAATGGGAAAGCCATTTCCTAGAAGAACAGCTATTGGCTGATGTTACTCCTGAGCCATTGTGACAGAGGATGGCACCCCCCTTTCTCTGCTCACCTTTTGATTGGGGTTTCTGAGGTCTGTTATTACAGCAGGACTTGTGATAACAGAGCAGACACCTCAGATTAATTAGCTGCTTAGTCTGCTACCAAAGCAGACTCATGTTGTGTTTGCAGCTTATCTATTTGTCTGGCAGGTCTCCCATTAGCTTATGAGGTCCACAAAGGAAAAGTATGAAAGTGTATTTAAAAGCTAGGGCTTCAGGAGTTTGAGCTTGCATTGAGCTATGATGACACCACTGCACTTTAGCCCAGTTTGAGCCTGACAGACCTGAATTCACATTCTGGTTTTGCCATTTACTAGCCGTTCTAACTAACCATAGGCACATTATTTCAACTCTTTGTTTCAGTTTCCTCATATGCACAAGGTGTTAATAGTAATAACTGCCTTATAAGATTGTTGTGCAGATTTTAAAAAGATACAGGATATAAAACATCTAGCACAGTGCCTGGTTTGTAGCAAGTTCTCAATGAATGTTGCCTGTGATGCTACTATTAATAATAATTCTCAGCAACTTGTAAGTTGCTGTCGTATTTGCTGAATGAATTTATACAGCAAGTAAGGTTCAAAGGCCCTTACTAGAGACTGGAAACATTTAAAAGCTAGATTTCCTGGGAAGTTGTACAAATCAGGTCTGATCTTGGATGGAGTGCCTGCCCATGCTAATAGAATTAACAAAGAACGTTTCTTGAGCAGGCAGCATTCCAGCAGAGCAGCTCATTGAGTTAGTTGGGATTATTATGTTATATCCAGCTGGAATGGTTTCATTTATTTTTATTCATTATTAGGATAACTCTGGGAACTCGAATTAGTAGATCAAATGTATTTCTAACTGATGGGGAAACAAGTTGCAAACTCAGTGATATGCACTGTATGTGAAAACTGGGATTTTAATTCTAAACTGGTACGGCCACAATTGAATCCAAGAAATGTGCCCTTTAGAAGTCCTTGAAGATTCCCTGAACCAGAATTCCAACAATGCCAGGTTAATGGTTGAAGAAGTCAGCATATGGCCACCCAGCTTAAGTGCTATTATAGGATTCTTTTTCTTATTTTGTAATTCAGTCCTTTGAAACTGTGGTTCTTTTTGTTGTGATTCAATGGAGCCATTGGTATATTGCCTAGGTAAATAGCCTTTTCAATTTTTAATTATTTGGCATGGATTCAAAACTTCTAGACTACTTAAAATTCGAAGAGTGATGTTTACTGCCTTTGAAAAAAATCAGATCTGTTCTCTCTCCCAACCTGCAGCAAGGCCTTTTCCATTTCTAACTCTGGGGTCAGTAATGCTAAGTAGTCAGTAGATGACAGGGCTATCGGTAGGATGGCTTCGTCCACCTCCATCACTCTCTCAGTGGATAAAGACCACATCTCACTTAATGAGTCGATCAGGGATGTTTAGACAAGCTCTGTTGGTATAGCTGGTGCATCTGAAGGGTCAACCCTTCCAGCTAGGACTTATTTTAACATAAGTGGCAAAAGTATTATGGCTTTTTTTCCCTCTTTCCAGATCTAATGTTTTGACGTGGCTTCCTGCTTCGGTGCTGTTTGTGGGTATGATCTATGCTGGATCCAGAACCTTGTCCAGACTGGTAAGTGTTAAAGGTTTGCGGGGGACAACCCCCTTCATCTTCCCCTTTGATTTTAACTTATTGCACCTCAAATCAATAAGGGACAAAGCATCAGCTTTAATAATGGTAAAGCTAGATGGGAGAACAAATCTTGGGCCCGAGGCCAACATGGGACCTTTTAGGACCTTTTACTCCTTTTGCCGAATTGAAGTTAACTAGGTAACGGGGAAGGACGAATGCACGGGTGGAGAAGCAGAGGGAGCATAGCAATTTTTTTTTTTTTGGAGACTGGGTCTTACTATGTCACCCGGGCTATAGACCAGTGGTGTCATTACAGCTCACTGCAACCTCACACTCCTGGGCTCAGGTGATCCTCCTGCCTCAGCCTCCCAAGTAGCTGGGACTATAGGCATGTGCCACCATGCCTCGCTAATTTTTCTATTTTTTGTTGAGATGGGGGGGTCTCGCTCTTGCTCAGGCTGATCTTGAACTCCTGACCTCAAACGATCCTCCAGCCTCAGCCTCCCAAAGTGCTAGGATTACAGGCATGAGCCTCCGTGCCTGGCTGAGAGCAGCAGTGTTTGTGGAGCCTGCCATAGACAGGGCCTCCTGGGACCGCTTCCCCATGGAGATGGGCCCCCCCAACTCTGCCTGAATGCAGACCCTCCAGGGAGCAGGAAGGCGGGGTTCAACCTGCTCCTTGCTTCTGAGAAACTGAGCCCTGCCCATTGCTAATGTGACCCATGATTGATGGGCTTGGTTGTGGATACAAATTTCCTGGCACAGAGGTGACGCCCTGTACGTGGGGACACTAGGACTCCAGTAAAAGAAGCTCTCCGTTCTGCCCTCCCACTTCTTCCCCTCAGGATTGAGCTCCTCAAATGCAGAAACTGTGAAGAGCAAAGCTACTTTCAGATATATTATTTGGAACTCCAAATATTCAGTTATTTTGTCATCAAAGAGAATCCACTAAAACCACCATTAACCGAAGGCAGCTTAAAAATCAGGAAGAGTATTAATGACTCCTCCTGTCTTGTAGCCTGACCGCTAACTCTATTCTATTAGGGAATGGTTGTATTTTGACTTTTGGAAAAATGCAGCATTTATAAAATGATTTAGTCTTTTTTTATAAAATTTGTTGTTATGTTGATCCCTTAGATCTCAGATACAAAAACAGTAAAAACAAACTAATAAAATCCGCCTAACTGGATAACAATGTTATTGTTAGGACAACAATTCCAAAGTTGCAAAATAGTGGTTGGGAATATAATTTTGAAATTAAATTATCATTTTTCTTTCATGATTCATAAGCTTGAGTAGCTGGGATGATATATACAACGGGGCAGAAGCTTCCTGGGTGGGCCTAAGAACCGACCCACAGTGCATGTTGGTGCTCAGCCCAGAACACGAGCCTTGCACTGGCTCTCTGCTGCTTCTTGGTCCCATCAGGCTCTTACTGCCTTACTTTACACCCTTTGGCCTGCAGAGGGTAATTCCCCTCCTGCACCATAGGCTACAGGATTCAGTAACAACACTGTGTTGCTCAAAGGCTTTTAAAATTTTTCTAGGGTCTGGATAGTTATGCGTGCCAGAATTTGGAAGTTTGAATAAGTAAGGTGTACTCATAATAATAATACTTTTTGTTTGTACAGTACTTCTTCATAGGTTTCCAGAGAGATTTCCTTTGTATCTTTTTATGTGATTCTCACAGTCACCTGTCATGTGAGGGGTGAGGCAGATGGTAATCACTTGACACAGGAAGAGGCGAAGGTGTGAAAGTCTTGCTAACCTGAGTCTAGTCCCAGATAGTGGGAGCTCTTCTGACTCCTCACCTTTTGCTTTTCCAGTTTGTTTCTTTAGGACCAATGCATTTGGATTTTAGAGTGGGCCTGGGGTATAGTAGTCACGTATAGCCTTAGACTCTTTCACTTGCAAGTGTTAGAAAGCACGAAAACTGCTCTAAGAAAATGGAAAATTTACCGATTTGTATAACTGAAAAGTCATATGGTAGAAGCAGATTTCAGGCCATGGCTTGATCCAGAGGTTCCAACAACATATTCAGAATCCAGTTTCTCTCTTTGCTTTTCACTTCTGCTCTCTGTCTTTGCCCTATTTCACAGCCAGGCCCTCCTTTCATGGGTATTGTTAACTCCAGGCTCACATCCTCACACCTTTCATAGAAAGAGACTATCTTCCTGGTAGCTCCTGCAGGAATTCCAGGTATCACTCTGCTTGGATCAGTCTGGGCCACTGCCTATCCTTGGTCTGAAAAGGAGCAGGAGGATGGGAGTATGTTGATTGGCCTGCCCTGGACCATGGCTTCCCTGAACCATTCACTGTGGTTGGAGACACTTGGAGCCCTAGGTATATAGGACCCCCACCCAGATCCCATACACTGAGAAGAGGGTATGGTGGGTCTTCAGTATTGAGGTGCTTTACCAAAAAAGGGATATAGATACTAGGTGGCCAAAATCCTTCAAAAGACCATTCATTGTGAATGTCAATCTAGCACATTTTCAGGCAGGTGGGATGTTCTGTAACCTAGAACAATGCTTCATAAGCTGTGATTCACAGGTATGCCAGTCTTTGAACTCTTTGTTACCTGTTCATGAGATCACCTTCAACACTAACCATACTGTTAGTCGAGCTGGCATATTGTTTTCATAGCCAGACTTTTTGAAGAAGGAAGTAATGCATTGGTTTACATTCCCTTGCCAGCTCCTTATTTTCTCAAGGACCAGCACTTTGAGTGGCATTGACCCAGAATACAGCTGCCCTTATTTTTTGAGAGATAGGGTCTTGCTCTGTTGCCCAGGCTGGAGTGCAGTGGCAGTATCATAGCTCACTGCAGCTTTGAACTCCTGGGCTCAAGCAATCCTCCAACCTCAGCCTCCCAAGTAGCTGGGACTATAGGTGCACGCTACCATACCCAGCTAATTTGTCATTTTTTTTTTTTAGAGAGGAGGTATATCTACGTTGCCCAAGCTGGCTTCGAACTCTTGCACTCAAGCTATCCTCCGGCCTCAGCCTCCCGGGTAGCTGGGACTACAGACACAAGCCATGGCACTGTACTTAGAACACAGCCTTCTTTAATAAGCAAAAAGAAGCTGTTGCAATTCAAACTCTTTGAACAAAGAAAAACAACCAAAACCAAATATACCTAATTAGAGTGGGAGGAGGGCAGAGAGGAGGTAGTTATAATTGTTTTTGAGTAAAATAACTCAACCCAGCATCTTTTCTTTGTTTTCTGAGCATTTTGTTTTTACATAGTTGCTTAGAAATTCATAGGGGGGATAAATACATGAGGCGCTTGTGCAGTCTGTGTTGGATAGAAAACAGGCATCAATATGCTGGTACCAAGCTGTCAGTTTAATGAATCCATAAGGAATTGGGGGGAAAGTGCTCAGTTAAAACCAGTGGGTGTATTGTTATGCAAAACACTTTCTGGGTAGCTCTGCTCCCTAAAGGCCTCCTTTATCTGACAAGGCCTTGAAGTTCTGTTCTTCTGATGTGCAGCTCCTGGGAGGAAGCTAAGTTAACTCTGCAAAGGTGTTATGGGAAAAGCTCTCGGTTGATTTTTCTACCTGAAACTCACAACCGAATGATATACAGAGTTACGGAAAAAGAGATTTTTCTTCTAGCTCTCCATTAAACAAATATTTATTTGGGACCTACTATGTGCTGGGGGCTTAAAGACAAATAGGACCTGGTTCCTGACCTTGAGGAACTGAAAGCGATTGGGGCGGGGGTGCAGTGCTAGATACACAGCTCACCATGGGAACAGCCACCATGAATATTCAGTGTTAAGCATGTGCTGGCCACTTTCTGTTGCCAATCCTGATGACATGTGAAGGTGGACTTGCAGTAATATAGTATCGTCCCTTCTACTTGGGCTGATTCGGGCCCAGCTTTTCTACACTGAGTAAGGTCACAGCAACGATCACTCTGCTGGCATGAGTACCAGTCTTTGGAGGGACAGTAGGACTTTGATGGGTCGTTATTACTCTTGTTATAATTTCCTGCTCTGAAGCCTTCCCAGCTAGACAGGATTGCCTCACAGCCTGTGCTGGTGCCTGTTTAGAACAGATGTACAAATTCGTACATTCGTGAGCGTGCTGGTGAGAGGCTATCCTGGTGTTGGGGATTTGCTCAAACTATGCAGTTTTCTTGCTTAGGGGAGGTCAGGATCAGCAGTTGGAGGATTCTGTGGATCTAGATTAAGGCATCTTGACAGGACTGGAATTGGTTTCCTTGCTGAGCTCTTTGATCTTGGTTCTTTGTAACTACTTGTCATGGTTTTTCTCTTCCATGAGCAAAACATTCTTTCAACATGTTGGAGGTGGAGATGGGATGGGGCTTGTTGGTGAGAAAGCATGAGGATAATTAAACCCACGTGGAACAAGTTACTCAGTTAAGAAAATGGGACCTATGGGTCCCTTCTTCCTTTGTTGGGCTCCAATAGCACAAAGGAACTTGGATCCACAAAGGAGGAGAATGCAGGTGTTGGTGTGGAATGGAGAATCTCCTTGTTACTGCTGATTAGAGGCAGCTCTCCTCTTTCAATGCTTTTTTTCTTATCACAGGTGATCAGAGTCCAACTAGAGGGATTATTTTTTTAAATGTGGGCTCGGTGGCAATACCGTAAACCTGTCCCCAGATTTTCATTATCTTCTTACTCCATCTAAAAATGTTTCCCATAACTCTTACAAAATGTCTTATTAAAATTGAACTCCTTGGGGAAAAGCTTCATGACATTGGATTTGGCAATGATTTCTTTGGATGTAACACCAAAAGCACAGGAAACAAAAGAAAAATAGACTAATTGGACTTCATCAAAATGAAAAACTTTGGTGCATCAAAGGACACTATCAACAAGGTAAAAAGGCAGCACATGGAATGGGAGAAAATATTTGCAAATCACTTATCTAATAAGGGATCAATGTGTAGACTATATTGAGAACTCACAATACTCAACAACAAAAATTCGAACAACCTGATTGAAAAATGGGCAAAGGACTTGA